ACCAATTACTTGTTAAAGTTTGTACAATCAGTGGGATCAGTTGCAATGCATATATGTGAATGATAAAAGTAAATTGCACATTTGTCGAAGGAAATGTAAGGTGCTTCATGAAATGTTTTGTAAAAGATATGTTCATTAAATTTCAACATTTTCCTAATGTTCTTGTGCTTCTTTATACCAAAACAAAGGAAAGACATATTGTTTTGGTTATTTATAGCAAAGTATTGTATCATTTTATTGGTCCGGCCCACTTGACATCTACCGAGGCCGTATGTGGCCCACCATGTGAAATGAGTTTGACACCCCTGCTCTAGACAGTAACATAACACGTTCAATGAGCTGATGTCATATGGGAACATTGATAAACAAGGCTGTGTGTCATCCGCTTAGCCATGACAACTAAAATTGGTATTCTGAAACATTTGACCTAAAAAGACTGAACAAAAGGGGTCCAATGATTGACCCTTGAGGGACCCCACAAGTCACAGCGATTCCATCAGATTCAAAAAATTCCAACGGTCAAAGTAACTCTTTTCCTCCAAATAGGATCTGAACCATGTAAGGACTGTTCTATTTTACCCCACTAAAGCTTTCAACCAGTTCAACAGTATATTATGATGAATTGCATCAAATGCTGCACTGAGATCCAATAAGGCTTACATTGACACCTTGCCTGCGTCAGTACGTCAGGTTACCATTGTTTTTATCAAGGCCTGTTTAATGAGTTGTTGTTGTTATTTTTTTAATTAATTCAGTTGAACCACATTTCAGAATCGCTGTCTGATTTTTAATGGTTAATTTCCATTATTTTATTTTATTTTATTTCATTGTACGGAGGTACCAACAATTTTGTCCACATGTTTATGCTTGAGTATGAGCTAGGTGTTGATTAATAAATGCCTATTCAGGTTTATCGCTCAATCCATTGCAAGACCATTTTGTTTAGGTTGTTTGTAATACATGCAATCTGCCTTTTGGCTCAGACTGCAATATTTGTTGAATTCACTGTTGAGTTATACGTCACACAGTTGCAAGACAAAAAAGAGTGTGACGTACACTCTTTACCTAGCTTGTGCAGATTTCTGCTATGCTGACCTAACAGTGGTGACACACCCATTGCGGCAAATCCATGCAGATCAGGGTGTAGCATTATGGGTGTACCACTTTGCGGTAACATCGCTACAGTAATTAGTATTAACACTTAGAGCTACCGTAGCTGGTGGCACCATCTGTCATTTTTTTGGCATCTATTTGGGGAAAGACACATGTTCAGTGGATGAGGCACAGGGCCCACACCTCACTACATTTACCTTTGTTAATATCTATCTATCTATCTATCTATCTATCTATCTATCTATCTATCTATCTATCTATCTATCTATCTATCTATCTATCTATCTATCTATCTATCTATCTATCTATCTATCTCTCTCTGTCTATCTATAACTTATTTTATTGCTAAATATCTACTCAATTGATTGTTCTCTGTCTGTACAGTATCAAGGGAGCAAGGTGCAATGTGATTGCGTACAATCTCCTGTGTACAATCTTTCCCCGAGAGCCAGTTTCACTGCGTGGTGTCAGACACACCCGTAAGGTAGGTGCGCCTTTGACTTTAAAAGCCTGCTCTTCCAGACCACTCCCTCTCCGTATTTCCTTCTCTGCATTCAGCCTTTTTAACTATATCAGCTCTGCAACGTTTCTTGCATTTGTTTTGTTTTTGCCTTGGTTCCATCTGAATGGATGTGTAAAACTAGTTTACTGATTCGCAAATACTGATGCCGTTCATTTCAAACTGCACATACAATACAAGAGTCATTTCCTCGTTGTGGTGGTGCCATTGTGATGCCAAAACAAACTACACAGCATTCAGTTCTACTAAATATTTAGTCACCGTCACTTATTGTCAAACCTAGTTTTTCCAGTTAAGAAAAAGGTAGACTGACACTGCTCATGGCTCTTTGGCTCTCATACCTTCAGCCAGGGTTTCTGTTATAGTCCCCACTCACATACACATTATACGTAAACAGCTATCTTTACATAGATGGTGATAGGTTATTTTTTAATTGACAGAGAAAGACACCTCTTAAGTTACTACTACTATTGATTATTATCGCTGTTCTATATTGAACCACAGTACTAAATATGTTGTTAAGATAATTATTCTACAATATCAGTCAAAATTTTGAAACATTAGAATTGGAACAGTACAGTTTTTAACCACCTGGCCATCCCAGCAAGCCAAAGCCATAACATTGGCTCCAGTGAGTTTTATATAAAAAAGACATACAGACGGACGGGCGGACCGACTGACCAACAGATAGATAGTGAAAACTGTCAGCCTGCCTGAATAAAATGCTTTAATTCAAGACAGTGACTCAGTGATTAATCATCTTTTGGGTTCATCTCCAGATTGATAAGAACAGACACACTTGACAATGTAACAAGGTGGAGCCCCTCACACTTTTGAGTGTACCGTAATCTGACTTCTGCACCTCATTGGAATAGACATACTGTAAATCCATCTTTCTGGTGTACCTTCTTCCTACATCATTGAATTAGTGGTACCATATTGTTCTGTCCTTCATTCACAAAATACTGGTCTTCTAGTGATCCATCCATCCATCCATTTTCTGATCCGCTTATCCTCACAAGGGTCGCGGGGGGTGCTGGAGCCTATCCCAGCCGTCTCCGGGCAGTAGCGGGGGACACCCTGAACCGGTTGCCAGCCAATCGCAGGGTACACAGAGACGAACAACCATCCGCACTCACACTCACACCTAGGGACAATTTAGAATGTTCACTTAACTTGCCATGCATGTTTTTGGAATGTGGGAGGAAACCGGAGTACCCGGAGAAAACCCACGCAGGCCAGGGGAGAACATGCACTAGTGATCCCAAGAGCCAAAAAGAAGTTAACAGATTCTAAACCATTTTCTATTCAGGCTCTAGTGCTCTGGACTGCCCAATCCACGGATATTAGCGCTGCTACATCAGTAGAGATGTTTAAAACACGACAAAATACTTATTTATATATTCTTGCATTTAGCTGAACTACGAGTTGGCCTGTTTGACTGCTGCTTCTATTCTTTCTGCTGACCCCTCTTCCCTGCCCGGCTTTGGGGAGTGAGGTGAGGTGACGATGACCGAATTGGAAGTCACTGTCTGGATTCTGTAGCAAAGATCGGAGGTTAACCACATCCACGGAAGTGAGGTAATAGAGATTTCTGCATTGACCAACTGAGCGGGGACCCACTTCACTAAAGATGTCTTCTTGCGGTGTATCATTTGACTGAATGGACTTTCACATTATTTCAACCAACATTGCATCGCACCATAATAATGTGTGAAATGTTGCCCACTCGGCATCCATTGCAGCCTGGTTATCCTGGAAGGGGGATGCCCCATCTGTGGCCCCTTCTCAAGGTTTTTTATTTTTCCCCAGATTTTTTTTTTTGTTGTTGAGATTTTCCCTTGCCCTCCTGGGGGTTAAAATCAGGGAATATTGTTAATATTTGTCAACTGTGGGCATGTGAAGCTCTTTGAGATGTTTCTGTGATTTGACTTGACTACTCATCCATCCATTTTGTAATGAGATTATCTTGTTCAGGACCATAAAGTAAGTTGCCTATCCTGATATGGGTACAGTATATCATTAATTAGATATTGATCAGGAGAAGTCTCAAGCCTGCTGTACTAAGTCAGCCATGGGAACCACCACACAACCAATGACTGATGTTCACCGATGTCATGTACATCAGCAAACTACTATGGCATGTAACAGAACTGGTGTTTTAGTGCATATGTGCTACCTGTCTTGTACGGAGCGTGGGAACATGTCACTAGCTCTATAATGTGTTGGATGAGAAGCGATATACAGTGCACGTCGAAATTCACAACCACACCCTTCACAGTTGTCATTCTCAAAAACAAAGCTGCTTTTTTGTTTTACAAGCGTGACTCCGATTTCACTCACACGCTTGGTGATTAATTTTTCTTTGCAGATCATGCACTGGAATTATGCAAATACCAAAGTTATTATCTCAAGAAATAGGTGATTTTCCACTCTATAATCACATGAGTAAAGCTGTTTCAATCACTTAATCAAATATAAGAAACTCCTCGCTGCCATAAAACAGGTTAGTTTGTCAAAAGATGCAGGTATATTCCCAAAGTATTCAAATCAATTGTCAGGGGTATAAACCAGTACCTATGATGTTATGACTGACTTTCAGGTACTTTTTTTGTGAATAGGTTATACACTGTGTACCTCAGACCTCGTAAAACAGAGACCTCTCTTTCTTTGATGCAGATAATTTGCTGAATATTAGTGTCGAATGTGCAGTGATACTGTACCTAAAAGTGAGCGCACGCCTTCTCATTTAAGAGCATGAGCAATACTCTTAAAAAAGTACTTTCGGTTTCACATGAATAAAATGTGAGCAACTAGTGTCATTTTCTACTCTTTTCCTCGAAAATGTTCAAACGATACGGTATATGTTAGTTTCACATATTTTAATCATGCGCAACCGATGTACATGTCCAAATCCAATGGAACCCAAGGATTTTTTTTGGGTCACTTTTTGGTAAAATTTGTGTTGTTTTAGCTGTTTACACAAAAATAATGTTTTGGGAATGCAGACACTCCCCCAACCCCCACCAAAAATGTTTTGAGGCACATTCGTCGCCAATATTAGATGAAGGCACATAGTGATAATCTGTCTCCCAGTCAGAAGTATCTGGGGTTGCCCCTCGACCATTTAATGACATTTTTATTTTATTTTAATAAACTAATATTATGGGTGGCCCAGTGGTTGACTGGTTAGCGTGTTGGCCTCACAGTGCAGAGGTGCAGGGTTCCATTCCAGCCTCCCTGTGTGGCGTTTTCATGTTCTACTTATGCCTGCGTGGGTTTTCTCCAGGTACTCTGGCTTCATCCCATATTCTAAAAACAGGCTTGGCAGGTTCATGGAACACTCTAAGTTGTCTCGAGGTGTGAGTGTGAGTGCGGATGGTTGTTCATCAATATGTGCCCTGTGATTGGCTGGCAGCCAGTTCAGGGTGTCCCCCGCCTACTGCCCGAAGACAGCTGGGATAGGCTCAGTTCCCGCACACTCCGCGACCATTGTGAGGCTCAGTGGATCAGAAAATGGATGGATAATACTATGTAAGTAAAGTGTACTCCAAAACTCTCATTGTAAAATTTACTTAGAATGTCTGAGTAAAAAAAAAGGTTACTAGGTTTTTTTCAAGTAGATATCACTCCATTTTTTTGTCAGTTTAGCATCTACCATTTACTTTTTAATCAGGATGTTTCATTGTCGAACTATAGTGCCATAATGAAACAAAACATTTTTACACAGGTGCACTTTGGAGCATTGACAATCAATGAAAGTGTTGCAGTGATCATAAGAGGCGATCTTCATTTCAGTCTTATCGGAACAAATGACTCCTATTGATATTGAAAAGGACTAAGGAGCAGAATGCAATACATTATAAATAATAATAAGGAATACTCACGAAATTCTCCTGTAGTTCTTTTCCTGGTACACCTGGTTGATGACATACTTGATGAAGACACTGAAGTGCTCAACAGCATGGTTGTAAACAATGTCACACACATCCGAAATCAAAATGGACTTCTCAATTCGGTGTTCAAGATCCATCAGGAACCTAAGAATATAAGAAAAGTGTTATGAGTGATTGCGAAAAAAAAAAAAGTCTGTTTCCTGGAATGAATTGAATAGGAAGTGAATGACCAGCAATTTGTGTTTAGCAAAGCGTTATCCTACCGTTCACTGGCTTTCATGACTTCTTCAATGTTGGAGAAGAGAAAGTGCATATCAGATTGGCTGAGGGTGTTTATTAAAGAAGGATTCCGAAGGAAGTGAGTTTCGAGAATCTCCAAACTCTTGTAGTATGATGCTTCTGAAGTAATAAGCTCAAACATGGCCTGGACAGAAAAAAAGAATATTGTCATTGATATAAAGGAGAGTAATTCAACCAACATAATATTGACCTATGGCAATAATAAATTGTGCCTTGTCAAAAAAAATCATGTTGTGTTGACTGAACTGAAAATGGATATGTTGTGTGCTAACAAGCATCACAAAGAATATCCGTGCAAAACAATAACAATAAACACAACGACAATAAAAAAAACATTTGGGGAAGAAAGCTGTGCCATTGAAAATGCTCATCCCAATTGCAAAGCATTTTTGATCACCTCTTGCATTATAATTTCTTTTTGAGGCAACTGGGTGAGCAGTCCACTGGCCTGCACCACTTCCAGGTTCTGCCACAAGCTCAGCGCGCGGGCATTGTTCCTCAGCTGTAGCTGTAACACTGGGGGCGAAGAGATATTGGACCCCGCAAACATGCTGGAAGGACTTCGATGGTCACGCTGTCGCCGCTGCTCAATCTCCTGCTTCTTCGATGTGTCTCGGTATTCCTGATACAAGAAGGCTGGAAAAACAAAATAAAATATGACATTAGCTTGAAGTTAGATGTTTTTTGTTTTTGTTTTTTTTTCACCCGCTTTTTCGATATCATTTATCCTGTTCAAGATCTCAGCAGATTTGGAATCTGTGGTAAAAGGTAAACTACATCCTGGACTGAACAAGCTAGGGGGTAACCATGAATGGGACGTTGACCATAAACTGAATATAGCAGCAACATGAAAGTCAATTAAGTGAAACACTGCACGGGGGTGGCCACAGTGAGTCAATTGCATGATTTGTTTGGCAAACATCACTAAAGCTTTGTGCTTTTACAACTGTAAAATAATAGTTGAATTGAATGAAGAGTTGAGATTTGGGGGGAAAAAAGGGTCTAATCCAACTCCTGTGGATTAAGTAATCAATAGTATACAAGTTAAAAGGGTTCGTCTTTGCCTATACTGTTCAACAAGTTTTGTTTTTGTTTTGTTTGTTTTTTGTTTTTTTGGGGTGGGGGGTAGTTCTTGGGTTATTCTTCTTGCCAGTGTGAAAGCTCAGAGAAGCGGACATGTGTGCACCCTCTATTTTATTTATCTACTTCGGTCCAGACCGGAGGAGGCCTTCCCAAATAAAAGCGTTAAACAGCAAATGAGACAGTATAAGCACCCCGAAAGGTTAACCCTGTAAACTGATAACGGTATGGTAAGCTGTCCACTGTAGTAACCGCTGTACCTGAAAGGGTTAATGAATGGAATTTTCTTTTTTTTTGTTTTACTGAGTATGAGTCTGAACATAAAGTATTGCAAGACAATGTGATTGTACTAATGGAGAGGCATTGCCGTTTTACATTCAATGTAGGAGTTGAAGAAGCAAACCAAGAATTTTTGGGCGGGTTCAAAGTTTACCGATAAGAAAAGCCATATTTTTCATTGTCTATCGACTGCGTCTATACCGAAAGTTAAGGTAGCTTGAAACAGCAGGAGTGCGTTGCATAATCTCCCCCAGTCATAACTGCAGATTGGTTTGGTGGGCGTCGAACTGGATTGCAAGTTACATAAGAGTGAAAAAATACGCAGCTGAAAAATGCACAGTGCGGAGATGTATGTGTAAACAACAATAAGGAACTGCCATTTCCCAGTCATTTTCAAATAATGCATGCATTATTTGACCTGAAACATGCATTGAAAATAAAAGGGTTATTGGACTCTTGACCCATAAACCAATAGTTGTACCTCTGATCGCACCACTACTATATCTTAACAAGTATGACAGGTTAATTAGGAATCAAATTTGTGGCAGCCCAAGAGGGGATGACAGCTCGAGAACACGTTGAACAGCGATTCGCGTTCTCACCGATGTTTTTGACAATGTTGATGGTGTGACTGAATGTCTTTGAGTTCGCTCCATTGCTCAGCAACCTGAAATGAAAGAACAGCGGACAGATAATTGTGAAAGACAAGCGGGCAAGCAGGTGGAAGATTATGTTCACGATGTGTCACTGGACATATGAATTTAAATGAGACGGCAGGACAAGCAGTTATGTCACAGCACAGACACTGTGACTTGTTTGTGTTTTACTTACTCTTCATTAACATTCACTCCCAAGCAGCACAATGTAACACCACTTATTAAATAGAATTTTCAGTTGCTATACACAAAAAAATTATACGTTTGCTTATTATGTTCCTTGCATGCTGGTTTTCAGATCATTTAGTTGTAGCAGAAACCCACAAGCTTTAATTATTTGCCCATATCCGGCATTTGCAGTGTAATTTGGTCAAACCTGTGGTTGAAGTTGTCCCGGTCAGCCCCCTCCGGACTAGGCATTCCCGAACGCATGGTATTTCCAATGTCGCGTACAGTGCAGGCTGCAGTCGTTTGCTCAGACAGCTTTTTAATGTCTCCGCTAAGTATGCTGTGAGTCCGGTATGAGATGGAGTCGGCCGTTAAAGCACTGTTGTGGTAGGAGGTAGAAGATACGTCCACGCTGCCTCCTCCCACACCTCCTCTTCCCTTATTCACAGCATCCTTGTTGCACAAGGCATAATATCTGCTGCTGGCCACACCATTGCTTGGCAACACAGGTCTGGAATGAGGGAGATGTGGTGAAATCAGAGACTTGCATTTCATAACACAAAAGCTACTTTCGATTTATCGCTATCCAAGCCCATCCTTAGAACAGAAATTCCAAAGCAAAGTGTGATCACGATATGTACATTTGTTGGTTTGTTTTCGTGCACGTGCTACAAGTCTAGCCATATATACAACTAATTGTTGGAATTTTCGCCTTTGGACAGTATTACCATAATGGGTCACTGATTATGGGTTGTGAGCGTGTAAACATTTGTCTTAATTTTCCTTATTTATAGTTTCTGAAAATAAAACTGAAGGCAGATAGCTTCACAAACGAATCCAATTTAAGGTAGGAGTAGTGAAGTCACATTCATGTCTGATTATGACAAGACAAATTGTTTGTACACGATACATTTCATTTTTGATTTGATGGCAACCAGTTCCGGGTGAACCACACATGTTGCCTGAAGACGGTTGCGATTGGTTCCAGCCAGCTTGAGACCCACGTGAGGAAAAGGGATAATGGATGGATACAGTTTGTATAAATGACCACCCTTGTGCAGCTCATTCCCAATAATTCTCACAAACTGAAGGTGTATACTAGTTTTATGCTAGTTCTTTTTTTCACCCATTTGAAATCCCAATGATAATTTAAAGGAATGTGTGCTCCGTGTTTTGAAATATTCACATACACATGCCTCGAAAGTACTTGTCAAGAAAGATATCTCAAATAACATGGGGTTTTTGGCGTGTGATTTTATATTGTATCTACCTACACTGCAGTTTTGACAAACGCAGTATGGGTACCGTATGGTTTAATGAGCCACATACAGTATATGACATTTATCATTTACTGTTGGAATGGAATGTTACACATATAAACAGAAAATAGACTACTTACACTCATTTTAGTCTCAGTTGATCAAAAGAAATTTACTCACAATTTGAAGCTCTCGCATCATGTTCGATGTATACTGTAAAACTGAAAATGTCAGATACTGTGTCTCTTTTATTGACGGTCTAATGGCCCTCAGTGTGTGTCTGCCAGCATTGTTTCAACATGCAACAAGCACATTTGTTTTGGTGTTTGATAGTCAAAGTACAGTAAGTCAACTCACCGACCACCCGCTGACAGTTCCGGTGATTTATGGGGTGATGGGCTATTAGAATAAGAGTTTGCTGATGTGGTGTTGTCCACTCCAGTCCTGGGAGAACCTGGTGTAAAGAGTCAAAGTTGGACATGGTTTGGAAAGAGAGAGGGAAAAAAAGAAAAGTGAAATGTAGCACAATATGAAATAACAGAGCACTGTTTGTTTGACTGTTTGTTTGTTTGTTTGTTTTGTGGCTGAACTAAGTGAGTGCCAGAGCAACTGAAGTGTGACACTGTGATTTTATTGCAATGGGATTGACTATAAATATAAGTTAAATGTTTTTCAGCAAGTGCATTATGTGCACAATATTCATCATTTTAAAGAAAACAGCATTCATAAAAATTCTGGCTTACCATCTAGCTAGCTAGCTAGCCGCTACTGTAGTTGGGAGTCTATATTACTGTACAGACGGACGCATTGATTATTATTCAAACAATAAACAATGATGAATGTCTCTACGCTCTGTTTCAAACTTGGGTTTTATGGACAGCTGGGTCAAGGATTAACTTTAACCAAGGTGATGGAAAGGCTAAAGCTTTGGGGAAGAACATATTTGATTGTGATCACAAACACACAAGCTCATCTGTGAAACTCGGTGGAGGTGATGGCTTGGGTTTGCATGATATCTTCTGGGAGGTGGGACCTCATTAGTCTTCAGTTATGTAACACATGACAGCATAATCAAAATTAACTCGGAAGTCTACGGGAACATGTCGTCTGCCAATACAAAGAAAGATGTGACAAAAATAATTGGGAGAGCCCTCAAGATAATCCATCCATCATATTTGAGCCGCTCATCCCCACGAAGTTTGCAGGCATGCTGAGCCTATCCCAGCTGACCCGAAACTGCTGCCAGCCATTCGTAGGGCACACACAGACTAGCAAACATTCAGACGCACAGTCACACCTATGAGTAATTTAGAGTGTTACATTAACCTACCATGCATATTTTTGGAATGTGGGAGGAAACCGGACTGCCTGGCGAAAACCCAAGCAGGCACGGGGAGAACATGCAAACTCCACACAGGAAGGCCAGGGCCCGGAATCTAAGCCTGGATCTCTGTGAGGCGGATGAGCTATCCAGTCGACCACTGTGCCACCGCCGTAGGATAAAAATGGCCCTCCCCAAAACCCAAACTGCATCAACAACAAAGGAGTTAATAAAGGGAAAGGAGTGGAAGGTTTGCAACTTGCCAAGTCAGACTCAAACACCAGAGAGCATGCACTTTACCTCCTAAGGAGAAGAGTGAATGGATGAACCTTTCCAAAACAAAAAATAACTACCGGTATTCAAATACACTGTTTTGTTCATCTAGAAATATCATCTTTTATTACAAATGATGCTACTTTCTAATTTGTGTCAAATGTAAATGTAAAATACCCAGTAATAAAAGTTCTATTAATATTTTTCTTTACTATTCATCTTTCCAGGTCAAAACCATTTTTTCCACCTTACAGCAAAAATAAAGGAATTGGCCTGACTGTTCCAAAACTTTTGGAGGGGAGTGTAGGTGGGAGGTCAGTCAGCATGAACTTGCTGTATGTCACCTAGTACTGTAAGCAGTGGCATTCCGTCAGGGCCAGCAAGGCCTTCTCTGCTGGCCTAAACATTCTCAGAAAAGTAAATTTAATAAATAACATAAATTTAATTTGTTATTTTATTTTCATAAATATGTAAACAAAATTATTCTCTGTATTCTTTACGTCATATTATTTCCACTTAGTCGAGTGGCTTTCAATGTTATTTTAAATAACATTGAAAGCCACTCGATAAATAACTTATTTATTATGGTAGAGTTTTTAACCAATCATATTTCAGCTAGCTTGTGTTGCCAGGTAAATTAAACTTGCTCGGGGCCTTCATATTAAACAGAGCAGGCCCCTGTGCACTGTAAGTGAATGGGCACAGTCAGGTTGCAATAGCCACCATATCGTTTGTAGTTGTGCTTGTTACAAAAAAGCATTTTAAGAATAAATTGGTCACTGTATGCGTACTAGGGCCAGCTAGAAGGCCTTACGTCGAGACTGGCCGTGCGCATTCGGTGATTGGATTAACGCCTTTTCTGTTTACTGAGAATTGTATCCTGACTTGTTCAATAAAGATTCTTTAAAAAAAAAAAAAAAATTGATTGGATTAGCGCCTGCTAGAGCTATCACTGCATTTTAACCCAAAATGGCTGAAGGAGAAGACGTTGATCTGGTTGCAGAACTACTTTCCACACAATTTTCAAGACGGGCCTCCCACGAAAAGCTGGATATTGTGCGAAGAAGTCGCCCAAGCCCAACTCCTGCACTAGCTAGCCTGTCCCAGCAAGGAAAACGGTTTGTCCGTCATTTTCAGACGAGCAATTATGAACGGTACCCGTCGCTCACAGCCTCTGAGAAACGCTGCAAATTGTACTGCTGGGAATGCCTATTGCTTGCAACTGACCGATTTGGTGTTTGGAGCCACACTGGATTTACCAATTTAAGTTGTTTTACCAAGGCAGCAAGGAAACATCAGAGCATGGTTGGGCACTTACAAGCTACGGTGTGTTTAAAAACATTTGGGGACACTCGCGTAGATCTGCAGCTCGGTGAACAGGCACTACATTGGTGAGTAAATGAATTTTATTTTACATTTCTTCTTGTCATTTTATTTCGTTGGTATTAAATTAATGGTAATGAAATAAAATGACAAAGATACAAAAATGTATCAAATAAATCTGCTCACCTGCAATTTATAATGGCGCATTGTCGTCACCTTTGTGCACGAAAGTTCGTTCAATCTCAGCTGTTCAACATTTTCAGTTATTTGCTGTTGTATCGCCGATATTCAAAATGCAAATGATCTGTTTACTTTATTTTCAAAGAATAGTTTGTTTTGCTATTGTTTGGTTGGTGTCTTATATGAAACTGCGACATTGCGCAATTTATTCTTATTCTCGTATCTCTTATTACTCTGGAGGAGGTGGGCAACAGCAGGATGCTAGCTAAGCTAAAAGCTATGTTGGACAGTCCCTCCCACCCTCTCCAGCCCAAATTATTGTTTGGTTGGTGTCTTATATGAAACTGCGACATTGCGCAATTTATTCTTATTCTCGTATCTCTTATTACTCTGGAGGAGGTGGGCAACAGCAGGATGCTAGCTAAGCTAAAAGCTATGTTGGACAGTCCCTCCCACCCCCTCCAGCCCGCCCTGACAGCACTCGGTAGCTCCTTCAGTCAGAGACTGTTACACCCGCGTTGCAAGACGGAGAGATACCGCCTTCCACCATTGATCTTGCCTCTGGGTGTGACAACAATCCTCCACTGCCCACCCCCACCACTAAGACACACTCATCCATTGCTGTGAACAGTAGGGGGTGCTTTGAAAACAATATATTAAATATGATAACGATAACAATAATAATTGCTTGAATGAATTGATTTCTACAATAATTCAGAAGGATTGATACATGCTGTTGTTATATTTATGAATGAAGTACGCTAATAACCACCAAAAGCGCAAAATCTGTCTGCCGGCGGTGAAATCAAATCCACCAAAATCGCGTTACACCACCTGCGCCACAATTTAGACCTACTTTTAACTGGACTAAGGTGTAGTCTACTTTCTGTCAGCAAATTGTCAGCTGTGCCAGAGACGGAAAACGCCCTCAGTCTGCTGGCATGCGCAGCATGGCACAGCGTGGTCTACCAAACCCCCAAACATGGTAAACTCGGCTTGCTCCAGCCCGATAATGAAGATGCACTAGTTTTTAATCCGAGCCCACGTGCGCCTGTCTATGAAAATAGAGCCTGTAATGTTACAAGATTAAAGTCAAGTCTTTTTTACTTATTTAGTGTCAATTCACAAGAGGCTATCTCAAGGAACTTTGAGCAGGTCGAGAACCACACTTGTCACACATGATAGATAGATAGATAAATAGATTGATAGATAGAGATTGAGTTACCGGGGGAGGGGTAGAAAATAATGTGTACAACAACAGCTGTATCAACAACAGCAATAAAGTCGGATTTTATGAGAGTAAAATCAAAATTTTAACAATGAATGACAAAATATTGTCATGAACGTCAAAACACATCTCAGAACAGCACCCATTGTCTGTCAGTATATTTTTGAAGAACTGTATATTACATTTTTGTTTTTGGTGTGGCCTTCATAATCCTTTGCATTAAAACACTGAGGTTTTAAATAGCAGAACAGAAACATCCATCCGTCCAGACACTCCCTAAAAATTAGCTTAGAAAATATGCATGAACCTGTTAATGCGGCGTCATCAGTGCATAACGTGTTTAGTTCAGTGTCAGAAGAATAAGGCATAATTAAGAAACATTTGCATAAAAATGCCCAAGTAAAGCGTGGATACTGCTTGTAGTCACCCAGGAAGCAAAATGCCAATCAAGCACCGAGCATAAATACAATTTGTTCCGTGTTCACATGTATTTTTGGTTTACTATTAAGTAGATGTTGACTTCACTGAGAAATCATCTGATTATCAGCGCTTCCACTTTTCTGTATGTGTTGCAAAATCAACAACCTTATCAACAGATCTCTGACAACACTTTCAGACAAGCCTCGGTGCTTTTTATGACTTGTACTGCCTTTTTAATGCATGCCTGTCTCACTGTGTACTATCACCCTATAACCCTCTGGAGGCCTGCTCTATGCTGGGCAAAGTCCAAGCTCAAACACTTTAGTGTGGCTCAGTGAGAATGGTTAATTCCTGCTGAGAATAATGGTTTCTTTACACAGTAAAAAAAAAAAGTAAATAATAATAATAATAATAATAATAAAGCGTTTCCATCATTCACTTGGCAGTTGTTGAATGTTAGTCTGTGAGTAAAAAGCAAATTCACTTTAAAAGTTCACTCCTAATAATTTTTGTTTCGTCTGATGACGTCAGATGTTGACGCGGAAAATTTAGATATTACTCAGACAACTGTGTTATTTTAACCCAACAGGTTACTCAGGTTGCACCCACACAGATTTGCACTGCAGTAGAATATGTGGCAAGCCTTTGTCGCACATTTAGCAGCGTCTGACTCTATATGTCAATTTGACAGTGATACAGAGTGACACAATATGGCGTCTGAAGTTGAAGCCGTACTGAAAGTAAAGCATGGAGAGGTCTGAGGTGAAGAGTAAATTGGCTCCAACGCAAGGGTGTTCATTTTGACAGTAGATTGCATTTAATGAGATTGAATTAGACTGTTTCTCAAATTGTTACCGACAAGGGACCAGTTAATCAATATAAACCTATTATGACTACCTCTAAGGCTATGTCCACACGTATACAGATATATTTTTGAACAATTATATTTTCCCCGGTTCGGGGGTAACGACGAAAAATAATCCAAAGCGTGGAAAAGCACCATCAGTTGACGTTGTTGTGCATTTGATCACCTCTATTCCCACTTTATTTTTAAATTCTCTTGAGCATGTCATAGCAGGAAATGAATTTCGCACACGTAGGGTGACAACGTCATCCGACTTTTTCTCTTGTTGAATACAGCTTAAAAACTTTGGACCACATTGCACATTTCAAATGACACATGCCATAAAAGTGCTGTTCTCTCCGTCAATACCCGGAAGCTGAGAAGGAAGTTCTGAAAAAATCTTCGCACTGTCTGGAGTTTTCTAAAATTGTAATGTATTATGGCTTAAAACAACATTTGCATATGGATAAAAAGCCGTGTTTTGAAAAATATCCTCGTTTGTGGGGATATGGATGGGGCTTCATTTCAAGAACATGCAACAAGGATGGCGATAGAACGTAAACAGAAACTGTTGACAATGAAACTTAAAGGTTACCTTTTGAATGTTCGTATGTTTTACTATGCCAAAAACCAGCACTTACTGAACAGTAAACGATATTAAAATATGACTAAAACTTGGACATGCACTCTCTTTGTAGTTAGAGGTAGTGTCGCAAAATAAATACATCACTAAATCGGGTGAAGTCGGTCTACTTGTGGTGTCTCAGGGACCACTGGTGGTTCTGTGGGCCACACTTTAAGAAACACTGGCTGACATGTGGCCATTGGGTATAAACTCCACAAGTATATATCATAAACAACCTAGATCACCATATGATTCGATGTTTTCTTACTTTCTGAGTTTTCAGAGGCAGCCATTCTCTTCCTCCTCATTGAACGGTAAAAGCGAGAGTTTCTGCGAATAGGCTCTCTGCTCAGGCCTACCCTGGATTCATCATCATCATCGTCATCATAGTACTCCGCGTGGCTGGGTAGAGCCAAAGCGGTGGGATGCTTGTCTGGCGTGTCCTGGGATTTTGTCCCCCACTTGCCCCGAAACAAGGCAGCCACAGACATGGTGAATGTATCACGGTTCTCGATTTCAAGTCTGCTCAGGAAATTCAGTGCGACTCGGAGGAAACTTGATGAAAATAATCCATCCTAATCAGCCAGAATCCAGAAGAAAATCCATCTTGAGAAATGATTGGCTTTCGTGATTATATTCATGAAAAAAATACTCGTAAATCCCAAACAGGAGTGGTGAATTGTAGTGTAAGCAGCAAAACAAAAAGGTCAATGTTGCTCAGCTCCTCTCCATTCTGTCCTGTTGTTAGCTACGCTGGCAGCCAGTGGGACCAGAGTGCTTTGCTCATTTCTACCTAAGCTGTAATTATTGCATTTATGACTCGCTTTCCCTCTCCTGCTCTTTGTCCCTCCTCTGTTTGGCTGCGTCCCTCGCTCTACACCACCCAGTAACGCGTTGACATTCCTCAACTCAACCTGGCCTGCCTGCCTGTTTCTCTGCCCTAAAATGCACTCTGTTGCCAAAACAGAAAAGTGAACCACTGGCAGATTACAGTGTAATGTGGCTCTCCATTTTAGATCGTCTCCCCCGCCTTAAAGCAAAGTTAAATTATACATCAAAAGCGGAGAGCGAAATGACTAAAATAGCTGCTAGCTAGTAGTGTCAGTGTGTGAAGGTGTGTGCCAAGAACTGCGAGTAATGTTCCTGATCCTGTTGAGCCAGGGCCCCATACACAAGTATTTTTTTCTGGTCAGCTGACAATAAGAGTTTAAAGTTCACTTTAGCCTTTTTGCATAGCGAGAATAAAACTGAACGTGTTGCTATTCGACCATGCTCTCTCCTGTCCTCCATTATCCTTTCTGTAGATCGAGGGCATTTTTGTTTTAACTTGTTGTATTTAGGTCGATTCCGACCTAATTTATAACCAAATAAAGAAATGTGTTCTGGAATCAGGCGCATGTGTGAAATAGGCAATTAATTTGTCAGTTTGAAAGGCTACCCTTATTCTGGGTTTAACATTTGGTTATCCTTTCATTGTACTTACACTATCAATTAGCTTGTTAACACCAAAAGGTGACTGTACCTCAATAAAATTATTTATTAATTCAAATTTAAATAAGGAACACATTATTATAGTTGAAGCTCATGGTGACTGCAGATGATATCTTTACAGGTTTACTACACAGTGTGGCTTGAACTAGCCTCGCAGTTCAATTTTACTGTCAAATTTGTATGAGGCAATGTTACAACAATTAATGATTTACAAAGACATTAAATTATCTTTAATAGCACATTTAGAAACTATTCACTGAGGGTGCCCTGATTGCATAGACATAAATTGGCCTCATAGATAGATAGATAGATAGAGAGATAGATACATAGCGTGGTAATATAAAGCCAGGTTGTTGTGATATAAACATGAGAGCAATCATTTTTTAAAATTACATTAAAATAAATTAAAACGTTTTTCACCATTAATGTGACCTACGGCCAGTACCATTCAACTGAAAAAAAAAAAAACATTTTCACAAGGGGAAGTCAAAATAAACAACTGAGACAGTGTGATTTCACATAGCAATATTTTGCAACGTGTGGCATTATTTAAGGTTAGTAAAAGGCATTGGTGCCAACCAAGGGTCTGCTGATTCCCATTTAACGTAAGTTTCAATGTGATTGGTTAATTATGAAAACAGCGACATTGCCATTTTAATGAGGGTGTGCATACATTTCCAACGATATTATCTTGGTTGTTTCCTTTTTAATATCCCTCTTGAAACGATATTTTTAAATTGAGTTGTCCAGGTGACATTAAATGTGGAAAAGATTTTGAAATTATTTCGATCCCTTTTTTATATCACAAATGACATTTGAACCGGGGAGTGTGGAGGCTTTATTATTTAAATCAACTGCAGACTGATAGAGTGATAGAGTGATTGTTAAAAGATCGTCAATTGATGAAATCTGACCCGGTACAAATGAAAATTTGTGCGTATCAAGTAAAAGAAACGGCGAGGACTCACGCCAGGAAAGCTACAGGATCTTGACTGCCTCTTAGTGGTGAGTTTCAAAATACTATACTGTACAGGTATTTGGCTTCAAGGATTCAATGAATTTTATTGTCATAACAGCACACATTTCCGCATAAAATGGGACAAAATACGGTACCGGGTTAGCCCAGTAAATCCCAGGACTTGTGAAAATAAAAACAGAGCAACAAAATCATCATCATCAACATCATCGTCATTTTCATCAAAAACGTCCATTCATCCATCCATCCATCTATTTTCTGATCTGCTTATCCTCACAAGGGTCGCGGGACACGCTGAAGCCTATCCCAGCTGTCTTCGGGCAGTAGGAAGGGTACACCTGAACTGGTTGCCAGCCAATTGCAGGGTCATCAAAATCACCATCCATTCCATCCATTTTCCGATTCACTTCATCCTCACAAGGATCGCGGGGGCTGCTGCAGCCTATCCCAGCTGTCTTCGGGCAGTAGGTGGGGGACACCCTGAACTGGTTGCCAACCAATCGCAGGGTACACATAGACAAACAACCATCCGCGCTCACACTCACACCTAGGGACAATTTTGAGTGTTCAATAAGCCTGCCATGCATGTTTTATGGTATGTGGGAGGAAACCAGAGTACCCGGAGAAAACCAACGCAGGCCCGGGGCGAACATGCAAACTCCACACAGGGAGGCCAGAGCCGGAATCGAACGCTGCACCCCTGCACAGTGAGGTCGATGTGGTAACCACTGGATCACCGCACCGGGCCGCCCCTCATCAAAAACAACAAAACAAAAAAGAATTTGGGACAACAAAAATGTACTGTCTTGTTAGTATGATTACATTTTTTTATTATCAATTGTAAATTAAAAATAAGTGCACGATTTCAAAAGCTATCATAAGTCATTTGACAATAAACAGTGGTACTTTATTCTGAAAGAGACGAAAGAACTACCGGAAGTTGTTCTGACGAGTAGGCAGATCTTATAGTGGTTCAGCTACATCAAAAAGACCTCAATGGCTGGGAGCAGGCTAGAGAGGATAGGAACCGTGTTTTCGAGGTAAGAAAGCCCTTTTAATGACCTCTTTGTTTCGCTGCTTACCCATATATTGTAGCACTGGAGTCAACGGTGGTTAACGGTGTGGCTTATGTGAGAATTGGCCTGAAATAACATTTTATGAGGGGCAATATCTGTTCAGCATTATTTTTGAGCTATGGTGTGTTCTTTCAAAATGTTTACCTCAAGTTGTTACACAGATTTTATGACAACAGTTAATAATGTAGCTCATTTATGATCCAGGTTATACATTTACACGTGTTTGAAAATGTTCAAGCGCATTTAAGACGTGCATTTTGATGACGACATCGCACTGCGACAAAAGCAATGTATTTACTCCCAGAGAACTTTGAATAATGGCTACCCGATTTTTGAATCGGTGTGCATTGTTTAAAATAATACTGTAAAACAAAACCTTGAGTTTTCCAAATTTAAGGAATTGCGTCTCGCCCCCTCAGACTGAATGCTCGTCAAGTCTTTTGAAGGACGCCGTCAAGGCACGATGGCGGCCTCTCACCCGGTTTGTGCAAATTGTACGGCAAAGCAACTTGGACAAAACATGATTTAATTACCCGATTTGCAACACTGCTTGTAAACGTTTACACGGGCTTCTAAAAATATTTACTGAAGATGAAAAACATCATTAATAAATCATTGAAATAAATGAATGATTCACTTGAAAAGTATTTGCATCCCTCTCTAAAACAATGGCAAATAATAATGTCGATAAATCATAGAAAAAACGGTGATTACTGTAAAGGTATTTGTAGCAATTTAGTGATATTAGGTGTTTCAGTTGTTTCAAATTTCCATAACATTTAGTAAATTGGTCTGTGCTCTCATGAGAGGTTTTGAATTCAGGTCCCAGGGATTAACCTGCACTCCCAAAATAATAACAATAATAATTGCTCCACAAACTAAGTTAGAAATGAAGGCATTGATTTGCAAAAGTGCTCCGCAAAGGAAAAAAAGCCCAATATGCTTAAAATTTGTTTGCAGGTCTGCTTGTAAGCTTACATACACTGACAGAATTTGTAGAAAATATGGCTAAGGAAGCTTCATTTATTTTATTTTTGGTTAATTAGCAAGCTAACGCATGACTTTATCCAACAAGTAACTATCTTATTAAAGCCATGTATTCAGCATAAAGGTTTTTTGTCCAAGTGGTGTTAATTTCCTTGTTTTAGAATTTCTTTGACCTGTCTAGTGTGTACTTTATTTTTAATTACATTGGCGTTTAATTCAACATCAATAACGAATTGTGCGAAAATGTGATTAACAGGGTTCGGGATCTAATGCGCTCTGGAGTGATAAAGCAAACGGAGAAACCTATCTGGTATGATGTGTATGAAGCTTTTCCACCAAAACGGCAACCACTCTATGTGAAGACCCAAACAAGAGTCAGGGTCAATAAACCAGACCCAGTGCCTGAAATTTTCTACACAGAAGATCAAGTTAGAGCGTGAGTAAATATGAGTATTTACCATTTATTGTCATAAAATGTTGTTTATCTCATCAGTTAATTTCATCAAGAGAATAAAATTATGTAAACATCTATGTCTAACTCTGATTTCAGGAAATTTTATGACAAATACGGGGCTGGTCCTCGCCCTTTTGATCTTTCCAAATCAAATTTTGTCTCTGTCTGTCAAAGGTATGTATTGTATTTTCTCCACTTTAGGGTTCAAAGTAATAGTTTATGTTTGAGGTTTTTTTTTGTAATAATGGCACACTTGGATGGGGGTCAACAACATTTCCTTAAAATTTTATTTCCCACTGTAGGTTCGTAGACAAGTATGCTGAGTTAAAGAGCCAATCCGAGATGGATGACTCTGTTCTGTTTGAGGAGACTGCAAAGGCTTTACTTGCAGAGGGCATCATACTGAGAAGGAGAGGAGCATCAACAGTAAGTCCTCAGAAGACATCCGCTGGATAACACACAGGGGGCGCTTGGTCTATGACGGCCCTTGACGTACGTTGTTTCGAGGTAACAAACAGCTCAAAATGAATGAGTTTGAGCAGTAGCATAAGAATATGTCGCTACACAGAACGAAAAGTCATGTGCGGTTCACTGTTCTGCATTTGATTACAGTGTAATCTTGGTCCACAAACTAAATTTTTTTTCTGAGACTCAGTTTGCAATCTAAGACGTGAGTAGAAATGGGAATTAATCTGTTCCAAACCCAGAACCAAATTATGTTTGGCTTTTTTGTGAGTTTGGTCAAAAAGAAATGTAGAAATAGATTGAATTGAATTGAATTGAATAGAATACAACTTTATCGTCAAATGTGCTGTACAGCACAGATGAAATTTCTTCCCTCTCAACATAAAACAAGAGGAGCCGCTGCGGGTGTCCGCGCCGCCATCAAAAGAAAAGTTAACAAAAAAATGACAAAATAATACAAGACAACACATGAGACACAGACAATCGTGCAATCTTAACCACCTTCCTGCATACACTTTGTTGTCTGAAGCAGTTATTGATGAAAGAGGAGCGAATCAAAGTGTCCTTTTCACCAGTGGATCAAAGACGTCATGCTGCAATGTGCACACGCCTGCTACAAGCTAAGCTTGAAAGCAACAAGAAGCTGTCGCATCCATTAACGAAAAAGAGATTGGCTCTCTTCTCCTGTCTCATGTAAATCCGCTTCAATTCCAAGCCGTGACTCCTGGTTCCACATACGCATCGGCGCTCTATGCTGACGCTCCTTTCTTCTCATCGTCGGCTCCTCAATCCATGCATCCATCCAGCCGCAGACTGTCCATCAGCACTGACCTTTTCGCTGAACAAAGCGGGGCGCCCTCTCAACATAAAACAAGAGGAGCCGCTGCGGGTGTCCGCGCCGCCATCAAAAGAAAAGTTAACAAAAAAATGACAAATCAACTCTTTATTGCCTATTTGTTCCTGCGAATATTGCTCAGGAGCATGGCGTGCCGATGCATTGTGTAGGAGCTTTTCACCGAGGCTGCTTTTGACAGCAACACAAACACTACTCATGTTTAGCTGTTGTTTTAGCTGTTTGTTAACAGTAATATGATTAGAATTCATACTGGACTACATGTACACACCATTTCCACATTTGGACTGCGGGGGGCGTGCGAACATTGCTAGTCTAAAGCAGAGTGACAGTATCAAACTTTTTAAAATATACTCGCAATCTGTTGAAATCAAGTTATCATAAATATCATATTACCATATTATTTGCTCCAGTTATCCAATTGTCGGCCAACTGTTCGAAGCATTTATTTAGCCATTAGCTGTATCACATAGAACATATCGTTGCTGTCCTGTGGAAAACACGTCTGTCCATTTTTGTCATTTTTAAAATTTTACATTCACGGGGTGTCTGCGCTTTCGACACCCCACGATTGTAAAATTTTTTTGTTGTTCTGGTTCATTACAACACATTTTGACCTCCAGCAAATCTTCATAATTTCCTTAATTTTTTTATCAATAAAGGAATATCATAACTGCAAAGCATTTATTTCATTTCGCCAAGTAACTTCATGCAGGGAGGTAACGGCATATTTCCATGCAGTCAGTAAAGGTCACGTTCTGTTACACGAAGTTATTTTGAACAACTAAATGCATGTAATAATAAATAAATAAACTGCATTTTATGTTTATAAATAATGTTTTGCGATTCACGGTCTGTGTCTCCATGGGTCGTCATTGTCAAGTGACATCAGATTGAAGTCATTAGTTGATCCAGGAGTTCCCCCCCCCCCCGGCCTTCCACTTCAAACGGGTATTCAACTATACTTTTCCCCGATGGAAGTCGGAAATGCCTGACTTCACACTTTCCTTGAATGCAGCAATAGATTTGCAAGGCTTATTTTGATACGCTCAAACCAACATTGTTTTGAGGGCACAAAAACAACCCCGAAATAGAATAGTCTCTTTATTGTCACCTTTTATGGTGCAGATGCAACATATTTGAGCTGATGAAAACAAAAGACAACCAATAATAAAATAATAATGACAAGGATACACTAATAACTACAGAATGAGGATAAATGTTCCCATGAAGCTTTGTGATGGAGAGCCCCCGACTATGGCTTCTCTCTTGGTTGGATGCCTCACATGGGCAGCAGTGGAGAGAGGGAGTGAGAGAGTGCAGCTTTGTGTCTCGCCAGGGAGCTGAGCAAGAAAGAAAGATGGGCATACTACCTTTGTCGATTCAATGTTGCAATAAGTGTCTCGCTGAATCTTTCCACAGGAAATACATCTTGAGCTGTCGTGCATTGCTAAATATGACTTTACACTGACGTTGGTTAGTGGTGGACTCTGGCATACAGATGTATATCCTGGATTTATATATTATCAATAACACTACAGTACATCCCAAACATGACAGTTATGCATAATTTCTTGAAATATTATAATAACCCAGTTAAGAGGAAGGAACTTGAAACTACAACTTTGTACACATAATCATGGTTTTGCTTTCTATTTCGCAGTTGGCAGCAGACTCCAGGGATCCAGTGTTGGGGCTGAAGTTGACAGCCATGCTGGCAGAGCAACAGTCACTTGCCGATGACAGCAAGCAAGAGCCAGAAGAGCATGTGTCACACACGACACAAACCTCGTAGAACTTTTGCTTTCTCCTTATCTGGAGGCTCTTGGATTCTCTTACAAATAATACCATGATGGTCAGACAGGGGTGTACAAATCTTTTCAACCAGTGGCTTCCTTCAGAAAAATTGAAGAGGTCACTTTTTGTGGAATAAAACATGGTAAAAATTAGTCCTAAGTTAAGAAATGCCAAGTAGTTAATTCCATTCTCAAAATTAAAAAAAAACGTTATGTATCAGGTTTTTGTTGAATTACAGCTTCACATTATGGCGCCAATTCAAGTATCCTTAAGACATCTTTGTGAAACCTCACTACAATGAACCATGTCACCAGGCTACTTTCAAGAAGTGCGTAGATACAACAATTGAGTCTACACCGCTTTTTGAATATCAGTATGATGGATGATTCAAGGAATGTTGCATGGAAACTGTGTGGAAATAAGATGTGAGAATAAAATTGTATTTCCACCAGATAAAAAGAGCGTGATTGACAACTGTTTAGTAAAAATGTCTCATTAGCTTTTGGAATCAATGTGAGGAAAGGCTTCAGCGATCCAAATATCTTTTGAGCTCATAAAAAGTTAGCTTCTCTGCTTCCAAATCATTGTAAAACTTTATATTTGAGCATCAATCACAATCCACGAGTCTGACACCAACTGGACAGCATCGAGGACAGGTATATGACTGCGGTCAAGCCAGCCTCCACTCGCAAAATTGAAGTCAAGTGAGCCGCCACTGCGATTGTCAGTGCTCTGCATTACAGTAATCTGCCGCCAGTGAGTGGCGTTAGCCACCTTCAAAATAAAAGCGCCTCCACTAATGCATAAACGTCATTTGTTTGGGTTACAAGAAATTAATAAAAATATAAAATAAGTACTTTATTGTTTATTGAACATATACAACATACAATACAAAAACAGATTGACAAAAGTGAAGGTAAGTAAAAACTATAAAAAGAAAAATAAAGACATCATCACAGTTATATGTTCAAAAGAGTAGGAAGAAGTAAATAACTTATCTAGTCCTACCCCTTGTTATGGAACAGTATATGAATTGATTTTTTTCAATACAAAGAAGAAAAAATCTACACCATCAAATACTTTTACCCTTATGTGTACTGTACTTATCTATACACCTTTCTG